ACGGAGCTTCAGAAAGCCATGCATGATAATGGTCGTCATCCGGTCGAGACCTTACACACAGATTGAACAACCGCCTGCGAAAAACATTACCCAAACCAGCCGTGCGCAAAAGCGCCATCAGATGGTTGATCCTGACTGAAGACTCATCACGGAGCTTCAGAAAGCCATGCACGAAAGTCGTCCTTATCCTGTCGACCGCCTTCGGGATACCAGCACAACCGGAGAAGTCGCGCAAAAGATGCCACAAGCTGCGTCGCGACAAATGGCTACAGATGGTTGATCCTGACTGATGACTCATCAAGAAGCTTCAGAACGCCATGCATCGAAGTCGTCGTCATCCTGTCAATGTCCTCCATACGCAGACCGAGAAGCGACTGACGCACAAGATGCCGCAAGCTGCATGGCAACAAATGGCCATCATTCGGTTGATCCTGACTGAAGCCTCATCATGGAGCTTCAGAAAGCCATGCATGAAAGTCATCCTCATCCCTTCGACATACCAGCACAATTCGAAAAGCCACCGCCGCAAGAGATGCCACAAGCTCCGTTGCGACAAAACGCTACCAAATGGGTGATCCTGAAGACTCATCACGGGGCTTCAGAAAGCCACGCATGAATGTCGCCGACGTCCCGTCGAGAATCCCTTGCATACAGTTGGAATAACCGCTCGCGGAAAGAGATTGCACATGCCATTGCTCATGCCCATTACACACCGCCCCAGATGGACGTCGTCATCCTGTCGATGTCCTCAACATGCCAACTGGAAGCCACTTTCGCAACACATTCCGAAAGCGCCGTTTCGACACTTCGTCGTCGGCATCCTGCCAACTGCCTTGTGCACGCACACCCCGACGATACTCGAAGACAATGCCACACGCTCTTCTCAACAATTCGCCATCAAACGAAAGCTCCTTTTGCATGAATGCCGTCGTAATTCAAAGGACTGGCGTCCCGCTTCGGCTGAGCCAATCACAATCCAACCGGCTGCATCTGCGGTTGACTCGTCCATGAATTGCAACGATCGCTAATACCAGTAGTAGGAACCTTGCTGCCGTGCACTGCTTCCCCGGGATCAGTCCTATGTCAATGTAAATAGCCATGCTCGAATCCGATGGCCTGGTAGGCCCAGTCGCCAGAGGCATCCACCGGCAGGTAGCCATTCAGCCACAAACTGCCAAGAAAATACAAACTAACACAACGTCTCTCCGAGCTGCTATCGTCTATCCATTCCACCTCACAGCAGGTCAGGCTCTCGACTCACGCCGGGGCCCCGGGCGTGGAGGACAGGCGAAAGCACAAGGCCCAAGCCTGAGCTCAACGCAGAGCCCGGGTCAGGGACGGCCTATGAGCGGCCTGGGAGAGCCTTCTCAGCCAACTGGGCTCCGCACGTCCAGCGCCAAAGCGCGGGCCGAGATGCCAGTGCAGGTGCCCTCAGTGGTGCCGTCACTGTGTGAGGCGCCTCGCTGCATGCTCGCACCTATTCCTACTAAGCCCCACACGGTGAGCAGAACCTGCACACAGAGCAAAGCGAAGCCCAGGCACTGGAAGATGACCTGCGCTCAGAGCTAGGTCGACTCAGACGATTCGCCCGAGACTAGCTCAGCTGGGGGCTGCCAATGTCAGGATCGCAGAGAACCTCGTCTGGCTTTTGTGGCTGCGTAGCTCGATCTAGCGTGAGCCGTGCTGGGCTGCGTGCTCGCCGTTCGCGATGAAGTGGTAGACTGCCAGCGCGGCCGTCAGAAAGACACTGGCAAGTCAGGCAGGTCAGGCTTTCGGTATTCGAACTGCTTCTCGTGTCTCGACATGTCTTGACGGCTCCATGAAGCAAGGACTTCTTGCGTAGATGAACACGAGGAGAATTTGCCAGCGGTGCCCGTATGCCGTCATCACCTCGCATTGTCATCGGCCGATAAGGCTTTTGCACCCAAGCATTTGATTCAGGAATTTCGTGCTTGCAGGTGAGAGTCGCAAATCACATGCTGCAGAATCTACACATCGTGAATAGCTACCTTCTAACTAGATCATGATTAACAACATCAGTCTACTGCAGGTGAAATGCTGCACGCGGGCCTTGTTGGGGGGTGCCTTCTTGGCCATCATGGAGAGGGATGCTGTAGCGAGCATGGCGCGAACGGCCTGCAAGAAAGAGAAAGGATGCAAAGGCAGGAGAGCTTGAGGCGCGACCGCACCATGCCACAACAGATACCTGGCCTGGAGAACGTAGAGGTATGAATGGGGAGACCTCAAGAAAAGACAAAAGCTTTCGGCAAGGCTTCTCATTATCAGCTTGAAGATGTCTTCCTGAGATTTCCGTTTCATGTCTCCTCCGCGATGAGGCCGAACTCAGGCCGGTGCGGTCGCAGGGTGCGGACCTTCCTGACAAGACTCGATGTTGTCTCTGCAAAGACTGCCCGTCTCACTTGCCTTCCTTGTGGATGGGATCAAGGCGAGGCTTGAGCCCGAGAGAGCTGCCAATAAACGTAGCCTACTGAGTACCGAGCCCAGGACACACTTCGAGCTTCGAATGCGAGCAACTAGTATCATCAAGCAAGGCAAGCGGTCTGCGTCTTTGTCTTCAAAGCACTGTGCATTCTTTGCCGCTCATGCTTTGGAGACTCTGAAGAGTGCCTCAGATTGCTCCACACTGCATGCGCTGATGCGGCTCTGTCACGTTTCACATCAACGAGCTTCGGCAATCTTCTGCTGTTATCAGTCAGCAGGTCTACAAGCAAGTGCATGCGCAAAGCTACACACAAATCATGTAGACGCAATACCTGACCTCGAACGGCTTATGTTTTTATGCAGGTCGTAGGTGTGACAAGTCTTCGAAACGACGGCTCTGTGCTGCTACTCGACCACCCTGCAATAGAAGCTGTCCATCTTCCTATGAAAGCCCAGCTGCGCTTGATCTGTGCTTCTTGATCGATCTTTGCTAAGCCGCTCCTCAGGAGACTGACTCGCACCTACATCCACTGCACCAGCGCAGGTACTCATCCTTTGCAGGGCAGCGGATTTTCCGTGGCAAACTTCTATCTGAAATTTGGAAGAGAGGCTTGCCTTCCGCAGAATTCCAGCACTCTGCACCCGTTCAGTTTCCCAATCTGGAATCCGAGGCCTGTTCAGAGGCCTATCCCGCCCAGTTGCTGCCCACCCTCCCCCCCCCTCCACCAGCGGTCAAGCTCCAAACTTACGCGGACCTCAACTCAATTGTCAAACCGCCTTCCCATCAAACCCTCAAGTTGCTGTCAAGCCGCGTAGTGGCCAACTAGCCTTGCCTGAGACATGCGGGGTAGAACCTTTCGCCTTTGCTGAACGCTGGGCTACAGCTGCTGGATGCCGAGCAGGCTGGTGCTCATGTACATGTACATGCATACATGCAGACGAAAGTGCATACACACATACGTACATACATACAGAACACACAGGTATGCGTACGCGATTTAAGCCTAGGATGAAGGCTTCTGGGGTGGCACTGTCACAACTCTTCGAAATTTATTGAAATGTAAGGTTTCTCTCTCTCGTGCGCGTCATGCTCCTCAACCCCTGAGGTCTGGCTTGCAATGCGCTGGCAAAACATGTTAGTCTGGTACTGTTGGACGGAGCAGCCGTGCTTCTTCTGCGCTGCTGCGTGGCTGTGCACCAATCCTCAGAGCAGTCCAGTGAAGGCTTCAGTCTTCAGCTGTCACAAGGTACAAAGCGCAGACTCCACGCTTGGTTGCACACGTACATATCAACGCCACCAATCAAAACCACAGAAAAGCCACCTGGAACGCAGAGCGTATCGCTGCCACATCTGCACCCTGCGCATAGAGCGTGATGAGGGCTATGAGCCGATTGCCTTGGAACGCAAGGCATTGGCACCGATGTGGATGCGCAAGTTCGGTGTGAAGGTAAAAAAACGACGTCGCGTCGAACGCCGATATGCGCAGGGAACAAGACCAAGGTAGGTAGCAGACCAGAGAGTCATTGAGGCCGTTGAGGTTGCATTTCAGAACAATTCAGAACGGACCGTCAAGGTTGAAGAAAATTCCTGGATATCTTCAGTACTCTTCGGTTGCGCAGCCTGTTTTGACCGTCGGGTGGCTCTAGATTCCAGCTAGTTGGAAGATCCAAAAGCAAGCATCTACACAATTTGCAACGCACTGTTTATCTGCTGCTTGTGGTTAAATGTTGCCATCATGCTCACCATCATTACCATCGTCATCCTAAACAGATTTGTCGTGGGTGTCTGATCCATTGTTGCCCGTGTCGTATGATGTCGTCGCCCAAGGATAGGAGAAACTAAACCATTGATATGACCGGAATGAGAACTAAACCACTATGCAATGCGACTCTTATCTCTGAATTGAGCCATTTGCAGTTTCGCCAAAGAAATGCCTGAGTCATGCTTGGCCTCAAGACAAACATATGACACATGCACGTGCAAATGTGCCATCACAGTACAATTCTAGCACGTTACTGGGCAGCCCCGATGCCCTTGTGTCTTTTGGCTTTCTTGCTTCGAGTTAGCTTTTCTCTGCCCAGTGGCACTTCCTAATGGTCCTCATGCACAGCGCTCACATCACATGCATGTTACATGTGCGGGTGTGTGTGTGTGTGCATGTCGAGTAAAGCTAGTTCTTTCAAGGAGTCGGGCCTGCGACTTTTAATTGCATACAAAAGTCTTCTTGATATCACGGGCATGCCGGGTTCCTAACAACAAATCCCAAAGAACCATCTGCACAATTTGCTCGAAAACTGTTGATGCCAAAACTTGGCGTGACTGCGAACAGTTCGCTGGTATTCACTCTATTTTCGGATCATTGGCCCAACTCCGATGTGTTTGAACTGCATTGAAACTACATAGTTTGCCCCCCAACAGATTTTGGCCCCGAATGATACATGTTTCTTATGAACTACATAAGTACTGAAATTTACACTACTTCACGCACTACCACGTTAGCGTGACTTTACTCTTGGCACCGGGCACCCAGTGAATGCTGTGAAGTAGTAGTAGTAGTAGTAGTAGTAGTAGCAGTAGTAGTAGTAGTAGTTGTAGTAGTAGTAGTAGTAGCTGTAGCAGTAGTAGTAGTAGTAGTAGTAGTAGTTGTTGTTGTAGTTGTTGTTGTTGTAGTAGCAGCAGCAGTAGTAGTAGTACTAGTAGTACTTAGTAGTAGTTGTTGTAGTAGCAGTAGTAGTAGTATTAGCAGACGGTCTCCATCGTCGTCGCCGTGGTAATATTGGCAGCAGCAGGGGTAGCAGTAGCAACAAGTATGCAGCAAAACCTGGAGCCTCAGGTCTGCACGCGAGAGCTCACGGATCGAGCCATGCTCTCCATGCTCGCCTGTCCCGCGACAAGTCCGAAGCACTAATGCAAAATGCAGTCCACGAAGCATCAATCATTAAAAAATGCTGCCACCACCATGTACTACCATTGCTACCTGAACTGCTACAGTACTGGCCCTGGAAATGCTGATTGCCATGGTTAAAACAACATGATGCCACATAGAAGAAACAACGGCGACAATTATGATCGCGATGATGCGAACCAATATCTAAAGATCTTGCGATACAAGTATGCTTCGTGATGACAACAGTGGTGATGCAGAAACAGGCTTGGTAATCACCGCGCCTTGTGGCCTGAGTCTTGCACGAAGGGCTAGACTTCCTGGCGAAGCACCTTGCATGGGAGTATCCCTCTCACCATCATCGTCGTCATCATCGTCATCATCATGAACAGCAGCGCCATCAGCATCGCCATCAGCATCATCATCACCATCATTATCATCTCTACCGCAATCTGGCACCTTTGGTTTGCTGACATGTATCACTCGCATTCTACCTGTCTTCCAGCTATTCTTAATTCAAGTTTGCGTGACGACCCACATAAAGCCATGTAAACTCCACCACTCCAAAGCCGTAGATAGGTCTGTTCACTCTCAACACTAGGTTGTCATGACTTGGCATTTTGGATTTCTCTGCCTGGGGTTTCGGGCTGTGGGGCTTTACTGTTCACGCTCGTGGGTTGGAGTTTTGCTCATGTTCCTTTCGCCGGTGAAGTTGTGGGAGGAGGCCATGCCCTCGCAAACACGGGGCCTTGCATATGCCAAATGCTAGCCGCTTGGCAAAGGACCTTTCATACTCCTGTTCCTGTTGTATCAGCTAGGTACAAGACATATGGGGTTTCGAACAGTGAGCTTGACCGCCAACTGCATATAACCACCATCCTCGTCACCATGGTGCTTTCATCGCGACCCGGGCAATATACGAGAATCGTGACACGGGTCATGCCGAACACGCGAACTCAGAGACCTGAAGTTGGGTCCGGAACTCTTACACTTTGGAGCCTCTAACTCTGGGACTCTACGTATCAAGGCTCCACTGACTATACTCATCAAGCCTTCGCAAGGTCTTACACTTCAAGGACTTTAAGGAGCCTCGAATTCATTGCCTTCTCAGCTCCGGGCTCGGCTCACAGGTCACGCAGTGCCTTTGCTGTGACTCTCTGCTTCGCCGAAGAGCTGCTGAAATGGAAACTAATTAGGACATGGCAGGAAAGGGAAAAGCCCAGCATTCAGAGCAGTTGCAGGTCACCAATCGCGGCCGTCATTCCCCTTCCGCTGTGTGCGCAGCTACCTGTCCAGGTTGGTTCAGTCGCGGCGTTTGTCATCCTGCGTAAGCAGCAACAACCAGGACTACCACTAAACCTTGCTGGAAGATCGTCGACAAGTTGAGAAGCACACTGAAGTACCCAACATTGCTGTCTGATGCAGTAAGGGCAGCTGCCTTCGCAGCCTTTGGGTGACTGCTCAGGGCTTCTCCCACGGCTGCGGAGGGTGCCTGGCATGGAAGTGTCTACATGCCATTGTTCCAGAGTTCATACGGGCTGGAGATTTTGCGGTGCTCCATTTGCAGAGATGTCGGGTGCCTGGCGAGACGCAGGAGCGAAAGCTCAGTGGCGCCTCGCTGCTGCTGGGCGACAACATCCTTGGGCACACTAGCGCAATGAGCAACAGACGGCTTACAATCACGTCATGAGCACATGACAAAGTAATGCAAACGCTACGAAGCAGCTTGCACAACCAACGCAATGACAGCTTGAGGATGGTCCTTGCTGTCTTGTCGACGCAGGCACTTGTTGTATTTCCTCCAGGCTAACTTCCAACATCCTTTCCAATTGCCGCATTTCATACGACTGATGCGAGTGCCACGGCAACAGATGCAATCCAAAGTAAAACTAACTGAGTTGGCTTCTTTTGGCCAGATGTGCCATGCATTGCTAGTCCCGATCAGATAACGTTGTGAAACTCGCTGAATGAATGTCGAGACCCGCAAAGCTTAGAACGCTGTCCCGGAACGATCTGTCGTTTGTACAGCCAACTCTTCCCCAACATGAACTGCGCACTGAACCGTGCCTTTGGATTGATAGGCTTCAGGAAAGGCTGTTGGGGCTCGGCAAGGTGTACGTATGAGAAGGACGATTGAATCGCGTTCGATATGCATGCCACACTGAGACCATACAAGCCTGAAGCCGGAGAAGCCACCACTCTAGGAAGCTCTTATTCGCACATAGCCGGCATCCATGCATCCCTGAAGCTACAAGTAACGAACTCCTGTCCACTGACTGTCGTCCACAAGACCCCCCCCACACACACATGACATGGGTGCAGTAGTTTAAGTTTTGGCAGTCCCGAAATCACTGACAACCTGAATGGAGCACCCGTTAATCACGACCCTTGTCATGTACTTGCCAGCAAATGTCGATGCCGCTGTGCGAAGAGCTCCAATTGGAGCAGAAAGAGTTGTTTGCCTGGCCTCCGATCTCTGCTGTTGGACATGGCAAGGCGTTCTACATCAAACTTCGAGTGATGCCATTCAGTACTTACCCAACGCTAGCGTTAATGTTAACATGAGTATTCATTATCGTGTTAATATATATGAACAGGAATATGCATGCTACAGGAAGCAAACACGGGCCCGTATTCCGTGGCACTCCCTACTACTAGTTTTCATGTCCCCCACCCGTACTGCAGGGCCTCCGGGCGACGGGTGGAGGCCCAGGCCCAAGCGGCGAATGCTGCACCCAAAGCGCGGCCAAGCTGAAGCTCCTCAAACTTCTTCGGAGTTTGGAAGAGCTGTCCCATCTCCCTCTCGAGGCCCAAGCTAGGTCTCACAGCCTGCTTTGCGTATTGGAAGGCACCAGCTTCAAGAGAGCACAGACAGAAAAACCACGAGGTTCTGATCTACACAATCCTGCCTCACATCGGCAGCGTTTCAGGTATAACATAAAGCCTAGTCTTGGCACAGCCTCTGTCCACGGACTCCGGTATTTTACACTTCGCCTGGACCAGGATACGTGTGCATGACCACAGTTCACCATGCATGGCAACAACATGCACAGAAATGAGACATGGTTTCACCGGGCGAGGAAGGGTGAGGTTGCACCTTAGCCTTAGCAGATCTTAGCAGCTTAGATGACTTCTGGCTGCTGGGCAGTCTCAATCACTTGCAGTGTGCGTCGGCGGGCCACGCGCACGGCCGACTCCAACATCTCCCCATCCTGCCTGACACAAACATATCTCACTCCACTGCACCATGCTGCACCAGCAAGTCGTCGACGCAAGACACGCTGGACCCACGGAGCAGGGCTAGAAACTCTTAAGCCCGCACCTGGCGGCAGCTAGCACGACGGCCAGGCGCTGCTGTGTCAGGTCGCGCCTTCTTGGGTGCTAGAGTCTTCGTCAGTCTCTCTAGATCATCATCGAAGGGCATGAGCTTCAGCCTAGTGCCACTTTGCAAATGCACTCCACGGCTTGGACCCGGGCGCGTGCCGCACGCTCCGCCGGAGCGTCCAGAGCCGGCGCTGAAGCCGAGCGCACCTCCCGCAAGGCCTTTTCCGCCGAGCTTGCGGTGGATGGAAGGCACCACTGCGGCAGTCCTCCGCAAGGCCTGAGCCGACTGCGGTCACTGGCGATAAAGCACGCAAAACACAACATGCATCATCTCTGCCACCCTGACAGCTGCAACGGCACGGTCCAAGAAGATCAACGAACTTCGGCTCACACTTCACTTCTGATAAGGCATGATAAGGCTCTTTGCTCCCCAACACCCATCCCAGGCCTCGAGCCCAGGCGACCTCTTTGGCCCAGGTCACGGGACCTCTGCGAGGAGACCTCAGCTGTTTCGGCACTTCTGCGGGCTCCTGCAATCACGCCTCACTGTACTTCCAAGTCTGGGGGAAAGGGATTGCCAAGATCGGCTGTCTGGCAGTTTAAGCAACTCGGCTATTCCTGCAATGTGAGGCATGCTTTAGGTCCGTCAGCAGCAGAGTAAGTAGCAGCTGAGTTATCTATGTTTCATCGTTTCTGGGTTGCAGCGCGCCTCGCGGCCCCAGAAAACTCCAAAGTTTTGAGCATGCTGCGCAACAGCGTATTTAAAAGTTCTGCAACGGTGCGAACGCTCTTAGCTGCTTTAGCTGCAGCGGAGCTTCGACACATTCGGCTCTGGCGTTGATCTCGAGAGTCGCTGAGCCTGACAGCAGGGGTGCAGCTGCTAAATTCCATTGGACTAAAACGTCGACGACGTAGGCTTGCCAAGGAAGCAGCCCCACCTATATATGCACAGGCTGACAGCGTAGCTGGCCGCAAACTATCAGTTGTCCTTTCCTGATTCGAAGAGCGATCTCAACTTCGAACGGGCTCACACCTCTGCATCAGCGCGCAAGGCCACGCCCTCCATTTCTGCAGCTTTCAGCTGGCTGCGCAGCAGCTCACAGCTCGCCTTTGAAGGTGCAAGCATTTCCACTGCACACCGCTGTTTTGCAAAAAATATGATTTGCCTCCAGCTGCCTCTTCTCCACTTGCTGCTTCTCCTCGGCTGAGAAACCCAAAGCCAAGCTCATGAGCCTGAAATCTGTCGAAGGAGGGCAGCGGCCCGGCCAGTGTGGGTTGACATACAGACGGTTCCAGCCGCGAAGGATCTGCGTTGCGGTGGAATAGACGGGCGGATGCTGCATGTGCTAGGCTGCTTTCGAGCAATGAAGCGAGTCGGGCAGGGAAACGCAAGCCCCAGACTCCGAACATCTCCGAACTGCTTTCCCTGTTACAGTTGTAGCTGGCATTAAGAGCACTCATCCAAGCTGATCTGATCGCGTCAAGGTGCCATGTGAGCCCAACCTCGCTGGAAACGCTCTGTCAGTGTGTTGATCCGCGTGGTGGCTTCCTGTGACAAGGACTCGCTTCGATGCGTTTGGCAACATCAGGCGGATCTAAGCACTCAATGCCTATGGCTGCAGTGGGCAAAGCATCCCTTTGCTCACACTGTGCTCCTCTGCCCAACGTAGCACTGCATCTCGCTCGTGTTGTGCTCGCTGCGCCCGCTGTCTCGCAACTGTTGAGGAACCTCTGCAAGCTGGAAGAATTAGGGAGGCAAAGTAGCAACACATCGACTCTGTCCTCATCTACATCTGAAACGGGATGTAGCATCGTGGAGCCGGTGTCGTTGAATTTATGTGCCGTTCTGTGCAATCTATCGTGCGATTGACTTTTTGGCTGGATGTCTTGGTGGCGCCGTGGATGTCTGCACTCTGCAGGCATGACGGCGAGAAGACTATAGAAGTCGCGGTCTTGCAGCTGCAGTCGGATACGTACTTCTTCCGCAGGGCCGACTGATCGCGAAACGTCTGTTGTGGTGTATAGCCCTCCCATTGCAGCATCGTCCATGCCCAGTCTGGTGCAGAGCTCAACTTAGGTCGACACCGCTTTCTGCAGCGCGGCGGCTGCGCCCAGCAGCTTGGACCAGGTCCAGGGCTTGGGCGAAGAGCCTGCGAGGAGCTTTGATTCCCTTCTTCTGAGCGTCAAAGTGGCTTTGAGATGCCTGCCCGCGTAACCATCGAAGTCGGCCAGGCTGGCATTGTCCCGGCTCCACAGAGCCTCTTTGGGCTCGGCTATGGGCTCCTCCATTGCGTGGAGATGACTCTGGAGACGGCTGCACACAACACGGGCAGCTGCGGTCTTGCGACTGTGGCATGGCCATGCCCTGCACTCCACTGCTAACGAAGGCTTTTCAGCTTGTCCGAGAAGTTGGCAAATCTCCGCATCAACCGCTAGGAAAAACCAAGGACCCCAGACGGTTCCCCTGCCACGAAGAGGACAAGCAGTCGACAGTCTTTTGGAGCTCGCACAGATATTGAGAACTGATGTACAGGCCGTTACGGAGGCAGAAGGAGCTCAGCACGCAGCTGATCCAAGGTGGATGCCTACCGCCGATCGTTCGTGGTGCCTTGCACCGCGCCTTTCACCCCATCTACCCGGCGGCCTCGGGCCCATGCTACTTGAGATTGCGGCGATTCGTTGAGCCATACCGCATTAAAGACTTAATCTGAAAATTGCTGCACTGAGTGCCCAAGCTGTCAAGCAGGTAACGTAACTAATCTGCACCATTCCGTGCGACCGAATGAAACACGGAAAATCTGATCGGCACTCAAGACAGAAGCGTGCTGCAACAGCCTGCGAGGAGCTGCGAGACCTTCCTGTAGCTTCAGCTCATCTTGATACTTCCAAGCTTTCGTGGCTTCGGGCGTGCGAGCCTCGCCCGGAAAATGACGGCTGCAACTACACTCGTCAAGCTGCTGCAGGGTTCCATTAGCGGTTGAGCAGCAGGAAGCCTTTGCATCCAATGCGTCGTATTTTTGAATCCGGCATTCAAGATAGGACGAATCGACGAATGCATGCATTTCTGCAAACATGTCTGGGTGGCTGCAGAGATCTGCAGAGGCTTCCTATGCGTTCCATCTCCAGGTTGCGTCTTCACAGCCTTCCGCACGTCTCGCTTCAACCGGCACAAGAGGGCAGGCACGCAAGGAGAGAGCCAGGGGGTGGGAGAGAGAGAGAGAGAGATCGCGAGCAGCAAGAACTGCTGATCAGGCCAGAGGACTCGTCAAGGGAGCCTAGAGCCTCAGGTGTTTCGGAGATCTTCGGAGTCCTTGCGGCGTGGAAACCCTGCGCAGCCTCTGTTCGGTCCCACCAGGCAGCGCATCCTGCAGGCGTCGGCTGAGCAAGGCCGCACGATGTGTGCTCTTGAACCGCAATTTCGATGGGCCGTGAGAACACCGGAGTCTGACAACGCAGGCTGAGCAGAGGCCCGAGCCTCATCTGTCTGGCCGCTCGAAGATCGAGAAGGGAGCCGAAGTCTCATACTCCCGCCTACCAGGACATACCAGGACTCAACGTCGGTCTCTGTGTCTCTGAAGCACATCTAGCACAACAGGCCTCTCAGGCTCCTCATTGACAGCCGAGAAAAGCGTCGTCAGGGCCAGGAGGAAAGCAGCTGGAGCAAGTTTCGGTTTCGGCATGATCGGAGAACTGCTGTTCGTAAGAGGTGAGATTCAGCATCTACGATACTGCGGCTGTAAGCTAAAGTGCAAATAAGCTTCTGTATGCAAGACTCGTCTCAACCGACAATTCTGTTGCGGGCTCGAAGAAAGGTGCAGGAGTTCAAAACGTCGGGTTGCCTCCCACACCGATGTAAACGAAGATGGGATCCGCATCTGGCTCAGTGACCTGCCGGCAGTTGTCAAAGTTTGGAACAGCGGCTGCTGTGCTGCATCTGAAACGTCTGAAAGGTTTAGACTGACCTTGCTGCCGATCTTTCTCTGCTTCGCCCGGAAATGCGGCGCAGGGGAAGGAAAGGTCAACTACAGCTAACCGCCCTGTCAATCAGAAGTTCAGGGGCCTCCACGAACTCCACGTCGTACACGGTGGCACCAAGTGGCCCAGCTGCCTGCACAGCGATTTTGCTGTCCATCGACCGAGCCTCGAAGGGGCCTCATTGCAGACCGAGTCCGAGCACCAGGCTTCTTCAGGATCGTCGATGCCCTCCTGCAGTAAAAAAAAGGCATGGCGCCGGCAACTTCAAGCTCAGACTCCCCGGAGGCTTCAAACGAAAACCCCAGCGGTCCACGCCAAATCCGAGCTCTGCTGGGATCCAGAACCTGGGGACATAGAAATGTCAGTCTCGGAGAGCTGATCGCATCGGAGAGCTGGGACTTCGGCCGCCGCTTCTCCCCTGGCGACATCATTTGAAGACCTTCCTGCCATCCTGCCACAGCTCTACTTGAAGCAGCTCTGCCGAAGGGTAAGCAGTTTCACGGGCTCCTGGGATGACGCTTGTAATCTTTACCTTCGTCTGCTCCTGTCTCAAGTAGGAGCCTTGGCAAAGGAGTCACTTCTCTGCCATCCCAGACAGCATAACAAGTGATAACAAGCGCACACGAAACGACAAGCGCTGGGCTGTCAATCAAGTCCCCATTGCTCGCCTTCCATCCGGTGTACCTGGCACAAGGCACGCTTGCATGCCTATGGTTCCAGAATCTGAGAGCCGTCATGTCTGGAGACATCGAAGGCTGCTTCACAACATGCTGAACTGAGTTTTCTCTGCGACCGGACCTATTATGACCTATGTCAATACTTCCGCCTGACGATGACCGTGTCCGACCGGAGCGGGGGAAGCCTTCAGTTGTTCACATCGGAGAAGCTTACGATGAAGCCAGGAGACTCACATGCGGCTCTGCTGTTGGCCCGAGTTGTGTTCTTGCTGCATCAAACTGATACCACACACTCTTGCGCTGTTGCAAGTCACAACCAGCACCCAACTGGCAAAGCGCTCGCAAGGAAAGAATGGCCGGCATCGAATCTGGAAATGCCATGAAGCATCTGTCGCATGGCATGTCATTAGGATCATCCGGGCCGGGGCTGCCGACCCGCCGTCGCCCTGCTCCAGCACTTTCCAGGCCAAGCCGGATGAGCTCCTCGCTTGGCCGCAGTAAGGCAACTCTGCTTGCTTGCACTCCCTGCTTCCTCGCAGGCTCCGTGCCTCTCACAAAGAGCTGGAGCTGTCAGGTCCGCAGGCGGCGCATAGCGTCCTGCACGTGGCGACTGGATATCGATGCTTCCCACTTTGAGGCCCTACTGTGGGGACAGAGTTCCATGATTGCTTGCGATGTAGGGCGTAGCCCCAACTCTTCTGATTCCTTCACCGCGTGGCTGGACCAAGGCCCCCCAAGCTCCGAAGTTCCCAGTCCTGCCGCCGGGCTGGCTGCTTCTGCTCGCAGCGGCAGCTTGGAAGCCCTGGGTGTGACCTACCGGCCGACAACAGTGGTAAGTTTACGGCTCGCACTCCGATCCACAGGCTTCGAAAACGAGAGGACGCGATGGATGTTGATGGAAGGAAGCTGTTGAGGCCACGGGGCCGGCAGACGCTGGCACAGGTCGCTCACAGCACTGCGAGAGCTTCATGATGCGACAGCTGCCGAGCGTGCTCATGTTCCAGCTGCCCCGCCTGGCCCCGGCTCGGGATGATCCAGGCCGCAGCCCGCTGCGATGCCCGACATGCCACCTCCAGCAGTTTCAAGCTCTTGGACATGGCAGGTCTGCGAATGTCTGCGACCTGTGCTGATACCTTGAGGCAACTTATGGCAAGTTGGCTCCAGAGCCGCGTCTGTTTCCAACGCACACAAACCTTCTCCTCCTCCATAGCCTTCAGCGATGACTGGTCTTCATGCAATGCTAGGAAGCCACTACCTCTTGATTTGACATGGTGAGGAATCTACTTTTGCAACAACAGGTTGTTCGATTCTCTTGCAACCACTCGAGTTTCCAATTCGAAAGTGGCTCCCTTCTGCGGAACCTGGCCAGGTTCGTGGCAAGCAGAGCTTCACATTGCTGGAGCTTCTACGGCCAGTCTGTGCTAGCAGTGGCAGCGCGCTCAAAGCCAGCACCGTCCTCCCTGGTGCGCTCTTTTCGGGAGGGCGACAGTGCCCCTGCAGCTAATCTGAGAGGCACCGCGCATCAACTGCCAGAGCGGATGGCTTTGCAGAGCTGGGCTTGCTATTCTTGGCTGTGCTTATTCCTGCTGCTTTGCTTTATAGGTAGAGCATGGTAAAGTGAAACTAGTCAGCACTGACCAGCCACCGGCACTGGGTGTGAGTCGCAAGAGTCTTGCAGGCCCCTCCAGGCAGGTGGGTGGAGCCTTGCACGGAGCTTATGCCCTGACTCGGCGGAACGGCCCTCGGTCCACAGATTTGAGCCGGCCGTAGGACTTAAGCGGCCCGAGGCTGGGAGCACAAATCTGTGCTGGAGCATTAATCTGGTGACACCACAATGGATATGAGACAATTCAGGCATCATAGCCCAAGGCAGCCCGAGCTTGCCAAGGCAGGTGAGAGGGCGTTTTTGTAGTGAGTCTGCTTCAAGGATCTGCTGGTTCTGTAATGGTAGGTGGGAGTGCGTTCGGAAGCCATGGCGCTTGGCAATGTGGCTGTCTCCTTCACTATAGACACCAGCGCAGCCCTCATACCATGCTGACCATGACGGGGAACACATCCCAAGCCTGGGACCAGGATCCAGCACACAACCGGTTACGAGTTTGACTGAGCCCAAAGCACTCGCAAGAGGTCTAATCAATAGTGATCTCGCCGGGGCCGGTCCCTATGCAACGACAACCACCTACTCAATGGATCGTGGCTGCAGTTAAACGGAGACAATCGTACAAGCTCCGGACGCTAGGAGAATCCGCCGCCATCGCAGCCGCCTCCACAGCAGCCCCCACAGCCGCCGTCGCACCCGCCGCATCCCCCACATCCACCATCACAACCACCGAAGCCGCAGCCGCCGTCACAGCCACCGCAACCGCAACCGCCGCAGCCGCCACAGCCGCCGCAGCCGCCTGGGACACTGCAATATACTACATTCGATGAAGAGGATGGCGAGCGCAACCCTTCTCGCGAGTGGCAAAAGGTTAGGGATCTTGCCGTCGAAGCCGCCGCAGCCTCCGCAGCCGCCTCGGACACTGCAATACATGCCCGGTAATAAAGTTTCCTCGCATCCGCTTAGAAACACTAAGCGGAGTACGCG